ATACAAAAGCACATAACCAAATTGATAAGAATTCTGCTAAATATGTTTCATCTTTCTTGTCAGACCTTCCCCTAAGCTTGGAGAATATAGCTTCTTGATCACTCGACCACCTAGTTGTCTCGGAAATAACTCCCTTAGGATTATGTGTTGATTTTAAGCACGTGGATTTCTTTTACTTTCGCAGTGGGGCAGGTTTATATATTAAAGCTTTTTTATACAAGAATTTTGTCCACTTGCTCAAGGAGACCTTTTGGTTACACTTGTACCTTCCTTAAGGTGATGGAATGCAGCAAATAAACACTCACAAGACCGAGGAATGAATCTCATCTATTTTTTATCTAAACCGATAAGTTCTCTTGTCTCAGGTACCTCTTCTTCGTACGGAGAATTCACAATGGGCAGACCTCCAAGGATATGTAGGTCCCAAAGAGATATAGATAGTTCTCCAGCTGATGTAAGAAGTGTGTTTGTCTTGGGACACCAAGCCTCACAAAATGCTTGCAAAATGTTCGAGTTTCGATCATAAGTGAAAAGTGAGGCATAGACAACATCATAAATCCTTGTTGTACTTAGGGTTTGTTGGTTCCGCCAAGTACATCTTCAGCCCATTCCCAATATCCTGGAATATGACGATACTTGCCCTCGATTGTTGTTGTGTTTCCTCAACGTACTTCGCCTTGAATTATGCGACGCCCTAAGTTTGGAAAGGTGCTAGCAATGTTTACGTGCCAATGGGTTGGAGCTTGGAGAGACCACATCTTGGACAATGGATTAAAAGTAGACTTGTGCTCCAAGGTCCAGTTTTCTACATAAAGAGAGTTCCTCAAAGAAGGCAATGGAGCTGAATACCGGCCAGCTTGTGGGGTATGAACCAAGAGCTTAGTTTGTTCTATGTAATCTTCAGTCTCAATTACGAGATATCTAAGTTTTGAGGAAGGTGAGGTATAGTCTCTGAAATTTTCCCTCTCTTCTGGCTGCAAAAAAATAATAATCATCAAAGTCCAAATCAAGAATATAAAATAATGCCTAGCTGGACACATATACCAGCTCATGATACTTCATTTTTTAAAGAAAATAAGACAAATGACTGGGTTAAGCAATTGCCCAAAATTTTTGTGGTTGGGCGAACTCCCAGGATTAATAGAATTTTGAAGATAACTGGGAGGAATCAATCGCACACATCAAACAACATGCAACATTGGTTTTTGTTTTATTTTAATATATAAAACCTAGCTCTAGGCATCTTGTCTAATGGATTTGCTAAAAAAATATTAGAATAGACACAAAGGTCTAAATGGATGAAATGGCCTCCGATTTTCGGGCGGGGATGAGTATTCATCCTTCATACCTTGAGAGTGATCTCTCCGATAGTCGGGTCACATTAAGAGTAATCTCTCCGATAGCGGGTCATCTTGAGAGTAATCTCTCCGATAGTCGGGTCATTTTGAGAGTAATCTCTCTGATAGTCGGGCTGCCTTGAGAGTAATCTCTCCGATAGTCGGGTCATTTTGAGAGTAATCTCTCCAATAGTCGGATCATTTGAAAGTAATCTCTCTGATAATCGGGTCACATTGAGAGTAATCTCTCCGATAGTCGGGTCATTTATGAGAGTAATCTCTCCGATAGTCAAGCTACACTGAGAGTAATCTCTCTGATAGTCGGGACAGTCGGGCCACTGAGAGTAATCTCTCCGATATTTGGGCAGGGATGAGTACCCATCCCTTCACACCCTAAGACCGCCTTCTTCATGCGTGGATCATCTTATTGAACAAGAATATATCTTTCTCGCTTGACCTACAAAAAAAGACAACAAAACAAGAAAATCACAAGAAAAGAAGAAGAAATTACCTTCGCGTTAATGCTTCTGAATCCACAAAAATAGACTCAAATGGCTTGTAAATACTGCAAATTGATGCTAACAAATACGAGTATATGGGTTTATATAGGCATGGCAGAGACGACTTAAAAGAGTAACTTCCGATGTGGGATCATATGTTTTGAAATCATTTTCCGCATAGAATTCGACTTCTGGCCGATATATTTTCGAAAAAGGATAGGTCTCGTCTCGGCTGAAACACAGGAATGCTAAAGCAACTCCAATTATTATTGGGACTAGGAACTTCACGTGAAATGTACCTAATAATTATGATAAGAAGGAATTCACTTCTTAGTGAGCTATATAGATTTCACTAATGGTTATAATTTATATAGTTTGCATGGTTGTCTTTTTCCTTGTTCAAAAGTAAATGGTTATTAATTGGCTATACATGTAACAAATTGCATGGGTGATACTTTGCATTCTAATTTGGCATGCGACAAAATTGATAGTCAGACAATACTTCAGGCTTCGTTTTCGGTTACGACAAGTCTATACTTCAACGAGTCTTGAAGTAGGGGACATTTGTGGGCATATAAATTTTATCGGAATAAAATCCGTAAAATAATATGGATTATATCTCAATGTATTAATCCAAATAAATATTATGAGCTAATATAATTGGATTAATTATATAAATTAAATATATATAGATTAAATAAATAAGTCTTAATCCATTGGGCTAGCCCATTTAATTGGGTTAAAGTGATGAGCCCACTTCATTAAACTCAAGATGTCCTAGAGGCCCAGTTTGGTGTCATGTGTCAAATGACGTGGCACGCCAAGTTAAACGGAAGAGCCAATAGGATCATGCCACGTGTCAAAATGACAAGGCATGCCAAGTCATACTAAAAGGCCAATGAAATCGTGCCACGTGTGCAAGTTACATGTTTCGGCCAATCAAATGCGGCCTTGTCACACTTTAATTTGATTGGTCTGAAAGAGTTTGTTCTTATCATAACTCTTCCCTCCCATAACTATAAATATGGGTCTTCATAACCAAGAAAAGACACCAGAAGTTATAATAAGAAGCAGGAAAGAGCTCGTGGATCAAACACTGCAAATTCCTCCACAAGTTTCAAGTTTCAAGCAATCAAGTTCAAGCTCAAGAACGAAGAACAAATCAAGTTCAAGCTCAAGAACGAAGAAAGAATCAAGGTCAAGTTCAAGCAATCAAACTAAAGCTCAAGAACAAGATCATCGTTCGTGGCGACAACTACATATTCAAGATCAAGCTCAAAGACCCTTGAATTTATTTACTGTTGAAAAGAAGAATCAGAGGATTCATAGAGATTGTAACACTCAAATATTCGAAATAAAATACTACGATTGTTGCAATATTTTTCGGTCTTGATTTTATTTTCTCGACGCAAATTTATTGTCTGCACACTCAAAACAAATGTATATAAAATAAATGATTTAGTTTTCCAATTTATAAAAAAAAAAAAGTTGCAAGTCTTTTCTGAAATCAGCTTCCAAGCTACATACATGAGCTACTTGCTCGATTGCGGGCCACTTCAGGAACCTTTTTGCATGAATTACTTGCTTAAGCTACTTGCAAGTTAGTATTTGTTTAGCCGCAACGAGTATTAAATGGACATTTACAATTCAGTGTATTCATAACAGAAGCTAAAATATTTAGTTTAATTTTAGAAAATATAGTATTTGAAGTTGAAATTGAAAAAAATAATCCGTGCAAATATTAAATGTTATTTATTGACAGATGGCATATCTGTACCAAAGTTTTTCAATATAAGAAAATTTGATCCTTCCATGCAATGTACCTACACTCGGGAAGTTCTTATTTCCTTCCGTATTAATGTGTTTGGCTCTTTTTCGGTTATCAAAAATCATTTTGGCAGATTCTATCCCAATTGGATCATTTTGGCAAATTGTAATTTCACAATTAGAATACATTTAATTTGATGGTCGAATTCATTTAAGAAATCACCTCTCTTTTAGTCCGAAAGAACATAATTTATAACTACTAAGTCGTACGTGATAACAATTGTTGTTGGAGGCGCCAAGATATTAGAAATGTACGAAACCTCATCCCAAGATCCTAGAAGCCTGTTTCCATCGTACTATGGCATAGTCATTAAGCTTTGATTTGATCTACAATATGGTCAGCTAAAAAAGATGGTGTCATGCAATTTTGGAGACGGACATGTGTCATAGCTATTGAGGTTTGACTTGATCTACGATATGATCAGCTAAATCAAATAGTGTGTCATACAATGTTAGAGGTCGTTGCGCATCATAACGATTGAGGTTTGACTTTGATATCCAACATGATCAGCTAAACCAAATGGTGTATCGGGCAATGTTGGAGAATACGACGTCGATGATAGAGCATTGTGCCGTGCCTACTTGTTAAATTCATTTGGTTGAGATTTATGTTGCAATAATTGATAGCTTGTCCCAAAAAGATTTTGGCCATTGCACTCATCATTGGAACTAGAAAGCAACTAAAGGCAAAACACATCCTGCTTACATAGCTATGAAATCTTTTACGCTTTCCGTCTAAAATACCACCTATTTTCAAGTGCAAAACGCACTGTTTGAAGCCAAAATTCACTTTTGCTTTACATTAACTGATTTAATTGTTAGCTAAAGGCTTATAAAAGATGTTCCCATTTTCAATTTTATCTTCCCATCAGAATTTGGAAGCAACCATCAAACGGAAAATAGCTAAATATTTCTTCCCACAAGTGGGTTCTGGGGAGGATACCTCTACCTTGTGAAGGTAGAGAGTCTATTCCGGTAGACTCTCGGCTCAAGGAAAGTAATAGCAATTATGACAAAGAACTACGGAAAGAAAAATAGTAACAACCAAAAAAATAATATAACCGAAGCAAAGGGATACAATTAATCCATGCATTCAGTGTTTTGCCACTTCATGTATTTGAAGAAAAAACCAGGCTATATATGGACATCAACAAACATTAGGGCCGGCAAAGTTACGGTCTCCCTATATATGTTGAGTAAGTAAAACTAAGAAATAATGGAATGAAATGCTACTAAGGTTAAATTGTTTGATTTGATGTATAAATCAAGTGCGACTAAGTATTTACTATAAAGAAATTTTGCAATAGCAATACTAGTAAGGTTAATTTGTTTTGGCTAGATGCGGCTAAATATTTACCGTAATAACACCTGGCATACATTCCCAAATAACAATAAGAACCTCATGGAGGTGAGGAAAATACCAAAAGAAGGCTATTCAAGTAATCCAAATCCAGATGGTACTTAGCTGTATCACTATTTACATTTTTGGCTTCACTAATGAATACATTCAACCATCACAAACTACAACAGGGTGCACACTCAGCACAATTCATACATATGGACTATGATACCGAGTTTTATAGATGCAACTAAAATTTTGCTTCAAATTTTAAAAAGACAGTGCACTATAATGATAGTTAATTACTCAGATATGACCAAGTGAACCTCCAAAGAGAGAAAAAGAATTAAATTCATCAGGGGAAAGTGCCAAAAGGGTAAGTAATAAATGGAATAGAATCTAAGATCCTCTTTGCATTTCGAAGTGAAACCTTCTTATTGACCATTATAAAGTTACTGTGGAGTGTATAATACAAGAGTAAGTTCAGTTGCTATTCTGGAAATGTAATTACCACTCATTTAATATTTGGTGATTTGATTTAGTCACAGTAATCTACACAGAGATCAAATGGATTTGCTTAGGAAGAGAATCCAGCTGGAAAATAACTTTCAAAACGGAACATAAAAGTCTATCGAAAGTGATAATCGCGTTTTATGATTGTAAAACAGCAAAAAGAGATGTTGCATGTGGAATAATCTCTATAAGCCGACTAGAAAATGAGTTCAGGTTCCTTGATTATCATTTTAAATTTCAAAGTTAGTGAAGAATCTAATAGGTTAAAAAAATTTCAAGACAAAGGTTTGCTGCCCTTATTTTACCAAGCGCAGGAATCAAACCTCAAAGAGTTGTGACGTATATAACGTACTTCACCTTCTTTTCCTCCTATTTGCAGCAAATTGCGATGCATCTGTCCTCCCTTTGTTCCAGTACTAGATGCTCTGAGACTAAGATGTAGAGAGAAATTAACAAATGCAAAGAGTTATAAGTAAATTAACTAAACTCTTGGTGGAAAACTTCAGAGGGAATGAATGACAAAATCACGTAAAACACAATGCATGTCATATCTCAAGAAGTAATGACTGCGACTTCATGGAGATGCAACTATTTTTGAAATATATCCAATCATATAAAGGAGGAAAAAAAGAAGATAACATGAGATAGGAGTCCGCTTGTCTGTCAGCATCCAATTATGGAATTTCATCGTCCTATTTTTCCCCTTAAATGCATATTGCAGTACAATGATAAAGATTGCTAGCAAAGAACAAACATGAATTTAAAACAGAAAGAAAGTTGGATCAAGATAACATCATCAAGGACAAAAGACCGGGATTATATGATCAGCACCCCATGACAGCACAGTTATAAACAAAGCTACCATATCGCTTTCGGCCAAGCAAGTCCCATTGTATCGGCCCTTCACTTGGAACCCATGAATTCACTTCGATATATTCTGCACCTCCCTTGGGTCCACCAATTACAATTAGCCTGTTACCACATGCTCGAAAAGCCAAACCCCAACCATAAATGGAAGCTGCTCTTTCGGGCAGCCGTCCTATGGTAACCCACGCTTTATTTTGCTTGCCGTACTTCCTCACCTCCATGTTAGCATAATCAGTTGCGTACAACTCATTGTCTACAACTGCCACCAAAGGAGGTGCATCAGATGTAGCAGCGTTAGCTCGCACAGGAGACATGTTTGGGATTTCACGCCACGTTCCTTTTTCCAGATCATACTCCTCCCCACAAGACAACCGCTTCGATTCGGCTCCTCCAATTCCTCCTATCACATAAAATTTTCCATCCATGAATACGCCTGAACACATCTTACGTGGCTTGTTCATGCTCGGTAAACTCTTCCATGTTCCTGCCTCCGAATTGTAAAGTTCAGCTGAGCTAAGTATATTGCCTTGTGAGTCACAGCCACCAGCTAGAATGCCAATCTCCCCAATGCTGGCAGAACCAAACAAACATCTTGGTACATTCATCCGCATCCCAGATGACCACGTGTTTGTCAATAAACTGTAACGATAAATGACATGCGAAAAGATCTCCTTTCCAAAAACAAGCAGCTCTGTGCCAACCGCCAACGACTCCTTGTCAGCCAACACGAAACACTCATCAGGAGTCATAGCTGGCAGATGCATCTAACGACCGCGACTAGGATCAAAAGCTTCCCATTCAACCAGTTGGCAGGAGAAATAAATCCAATGCTCAACCACACCATTTTCCCGCCGCAATTTGTAAAGTTCTCCACTCCTAATCACTGAGCGAAAGCTACGATTCAAAGATGCTATGGCACCATAATCCGACCGAGAGCAATGAATGAGACAACCGATGGAATTGTCACAGCCAATGGCATGAATAAGAGAGCTCGAATCAGAATTATCCCCAGCATGATGTTTTTTGCCAGCTTGCTCGTTCGGGGATGCTGAAGAGTTGCCCAAAGATAGAGCGACTTCCACTTTGTTGAAAGCATCAGACTTATTTGGCAACTTGCGTTTCACAAGTTCATGCTCCTGATAATTTACCAATGGCTCTTTGCCATTCATGCAAGCCACCAAGTTACTTTCTCTCTGACAATCCTTTGAAACCAAACAAGACTGATCTTCTAACATGTCGTCCATATTAAAACCAAGAGGATTTGATAAAATGAAGGAAGAAGTTGATTGCAATGAACTGAAAAAGACAACCTTTTTTGTTGCTGGTGAATTCTACCTCTGTTGTTTTCTTGATTTTCCTATTAATATAGTTTTTCTTCTTTTTGTTTTTCGGTAGGTATTAGTATAAATGGGTAGGGACTTAATTTTTGTACTATTTGGTAGAAGAAGAATCGGGGCCTTTGGATTCTCTCTTCTGAAATTAAAGTAAAATTTGGCTTCATAAGGAGGAAAAATTAAGATTTGGCTTCATAAGGAGGAAAAATTAATTAAATGCCTAAGGGGGAAGTGCAAAAAGAGTAAGTAATGTAATCTTGGTAATGTGACAATCTCGGTTCACACTATGCACTCTCTCTTTCTCTTTTTTTCCATGGAGCAAATTCTTCTCTCGTTATTCTCTCAAGTGCCACAAGGAAGATTATCAATATTTTCTTGAAGGAATAAGCTCTTCCTACACAATTTTTTTCTCAAAGATGATATGGGAGGGAATTTTTTATTCATCTTTCTCATAAATTATGTTTAAGTATTTACTTATATGCTACTTGTAGAATTATAAAGCATGAGAGCAAACCGTAATTGATGGAAGAGTAAATTCCAGAGATGCCTACCAAAATATTGAGACCACCCGCTATGCGACTGATAAGAGCATATGACAGGATTTAGTAAATAACACTGATATTAAACATTTTCTCTAGATAAGTAGAGCCTGTAATTTCTACGTTTAAGCTTTCATGAATAATACTTTTTAAGGGAAAACAGCTACCACTGTAGGACTTGCAGGACACCTGCCCCTCCCCCCAAACCTTCCATCTAAGGGTTAACTACATAACAGCAAAACCAAAAACAAGTAGCAGCAATTATAGCCTATAAGGGACCAGATAAAGCAGGCAAGATAAGGATGTGTTTTTGGAGTAAAATTTGACCTTTAGTACAAGTGCATAAATACCTAGAATTCTACCAATATGGAGTGGTTTTTAATGAAAGCTGAAGCATGCACTACTGAACTTACTCAAAATGACATGTTCGCGTGCATGAAAATCTTCACTAAATGTATAATTATGATGTTTGCTTCTATAAGGAAAAATCGAAATATAAACTTATAGATTCTTATAAAAATTAGCATTCTTATAATTGCTTATGTTCTTGGACACACTTATAAACTAACAATACGAAAAATAGTCTAGCAGGCAAAAGTAAATGCTTACTACTCCCTCTGTTCCAGTTTATGTGAACCTATTTCCTTTTTGGGCCGTTCTAAAAAGAATGACCCCTTTCTAAATTTGGAAACAATTAAGCTTAAACTTACAATTCTACCCTTAATGAGAAGCTTTTATAACCACATAAATACTCTTGGCCCCTTTTTGACTTGTTTAGGACCACAAATTCCAAAAGTCTTCATTTTTTCTTAAACTCCGTGCCCAACCAAACAGGTTCACATAAATTAGAACTGAGGGAGTATTAAATAACAAAAATCTGCAATGGCAGCCAATTACATTGTTGAAGAAATGTTTACTTTCAATTATGAGATTATGGTTTGTGGGAAATATGCTAGAATGTTTAATGATATAACTTTTGCAGCAAGTTACAGTCTATCCAAGTGATTTTCACCTAAAACTTACATGCATTTTAAGCAGGGACTTACATGTATTTAATGCAAAATGTATGTATAAATTTTAACTATGAAACAGTGTACAGTATTAGGTTATCAAATCATCGCTACCTCCAGACATAATATCTTTTATATCGACTTGATGTTTTCTACCTCAACTTAGTTAGTCAGATACACTAATTTTTCAGTTTTTTACTGCATCAGTCCATACAGTCAATGCATCAATGCTAGATGATAAAGGCTACAACATCTGGAAGTCTATAGAAAGAAAATATCTTTCTCAACAGATAAACATTATGTTATTTGTATTTCTTGCGCTTAAAAGTTCAGTATGATTAGATATTAGATATATTTGTGGTCTCTTTTCTGGATCAATTCAGAAGTTTGATACAATTCTTATTGTGCAGGCAAAACAAAGAGATAAAACACTGTCAGTGGATTCAGTAAAAAGTGACCAATGATCTCAAGTAAAAGATCCTGGAAAACCAGCCAACACAGAATTTTCAATGGATAGCAACCTAGACGAAATTAATAAATGATTGCGTCGTACTCTATGTAGTAAACTTGCAACAAAGCCACCACTATTAACTTTTGCCTTCAGACATGCCTACATGAGTTTTTGTGAGCCATTTTTGCATTCGCATGCGTACACAAGATATACAAATTCCTCAATCCTCACTCTTTATACAATAAACATAATAGAAAGCATTGGTAAATAGAAATAAGGTCAGTACAAAAAGCACTTTGACCAATCATACACATATATAGGAGCATGTTTTGCATCATATATCAATCCGCAAAAAACAACTTAAGCTAGACAAGAGTCAAAGAACTGTTACACATTGGCAAACTAAAAGTTCCGGCATCTTCACTAATTGAAGAAGTGACAGAATAATATATTTCCAAGATTTAAAGCTCTTTAAGTGTGACTAAAAGGATAAACATTTATGGTAGTTGCAAATATCTAGTAGTACAAATGCAACAAATATTGCGATGGATCATTAGCTAATTGGTTGTCAATCTTAATCTAGAGTTTATGATAATTTCCTCTTTGATGCAGTTTGCAAAAGGTGCATCCATCAAGCAGCCAGTGAAACTAAGCACTCATGCATCTATCAAGCTGCCAGTGAAACTAAGTGCTGCCCTGAGTGCAAAGAAGAGTTGGGCTTTCCTGAATAGCATCTCATATAAGGACCGACTCTATTTCTCTTTTAGTTATTACAAGCTTTTGATGAGTCGCTATTAGATTAAATGGGTGGAGAAGTCCCTCTGCCTGCACAAGGTAGGGGTAAGATCTGCATACACACTACCTTCCCCAGATCCCATTTGTGGGATTACACTGGGTATGTTATTGTTGGGTGGAGAAACAAAGACAAATAACCTGATAGTTGATCTTAAAAATAAGTCTATGACACTTTTTCTTCAACTAAGATAATGATATCTGAAATTACTAAGAATCACTACTTCTGACAGTCCGTCAAAAGATTCACTTTTGTAGTCATCCTATGGATCAGTTTTTTTTTTTCCGTCAAAGTAAAAAAATTCATTAAAAGAAGGGCAAAAAATGGATGTATACAAGAGGTATACCAAAAGGTAGAAAAACCTTACGAAATGATATGATTTTCTATGAAAGACACTCAATCATTTATACATATGGGAACCTCGCGGGTGCACCAAAAAGGAATAAGAGATAGAAGGTTATTCCTCAAGTGTACAAAACCATCTCTACTCCATCAAAAGCGCTCCAAATCCTCTCTCTTCATACAGTCCATAAGTATAGAGGAGCAACATCCCATACCTTGTGTCTCTTCTGTCTTCTAAAGGTCCAACTAAACATTGTTTCTTTCACAGTGCTTGGCATTACTCACTCTGGTCCATACCATCACAAGATTTCCCACCACAACTAAGACACTATTCGACAAGGTAAATGGAGGTGATTCACATCTTTCCCCGAGTCTTTACACATGAAGCGCCAACTAACAAATGAACTTCTTCTTCCCTAAGTTCTCCACCGTCAAGATTACCCCAGACGCAACTAGCCAAGTGAAAACATACACATTCCTCAACTCCTTCCTAGTAATAAACTTCTCATAATAGGACTTACATAAAGACACTATTTTCCCCCGCCCCCATCTCCATACATCTTGACTATCATGTGTTTCAACCTTCCAGTCTTGCAATTTGTTTCAAAACTCCAAATCCCAATGTGCCTCTCCCCTTGTAGACTCCATATCCTATGGACCAGTTTGCAAACATAAATAAATAACTATATTCTATCTCTAATAACTTGAGCTTTCAGATAAGCTTGTTCACACAATTCAACATGTTCTATCTTTTCGGATGGCACCAACTGAGGCAGAGGACTCAAGTTTGAGTTTAACCGCCGCCCATTAACAAAAATATTTCTACGTGTTTGGGCCAAGTAAAAAATGCACATCCTAATTGATGGAATAGTAAATACCAGGGATTCCTACTAAAAATTTAGAATCGCCATTTATGTGCAAGTTATGTGCATACATGCAGAGAAAGCCTGAGTATAGAACTGACATATAACCAAGTGAAACATCCAAGGATAAATAAAAAAAATTAAATGCCTACGGAGAAAGTGTCAAAAGAGTAAGTAATATAATCTAGGGCCAAGTAATCTAGCTCATCTGACCCTGTGTCAGTTGACACTATGTACTCTCTTTCTCTTCTTTTTCGTAGAGCAGTTTTTTCTTTCATTATTCTTACCTCTATTACTCCAATGGCACTCAACAATATTATGTATATCAATGTTAGGTTGGTGTCTAAAACTGAGGTATGACAAAGTGAAACAACTCAGGAGGAAAAAAAGGATTAAATGCATCAAGGAAGTTCCAAAAGACCAAGTAGTGCAATCGTAAATCCAAATAATCTAGGCGTTTGTCATAGCGTCAATTCAAACTATGTACTCTCATTTTTTTCTTTCTCCTAGAAATTTTTCTTTCTCGTTCTCTCAAGTGCTACAAGGATATTATCAATCATTTCTTAAAGGAAGAAGCATTTCATATTATCAATCATGTCTTAAAGGAAGAAGCACCCCTTATCTACAAATTATGTGCATAAATGTGGGGAAGACTTGGTGTCAAGAACTAACATATGAGCAAGTGAAGCATACGAGCACAAAAAAATAATTAAATGCATTAGGGAAAATGTCAAAAGGGTAAATAAAGCAATTGAAAATCCAAGTAATCTAGATGATCTGACATTATCAGTTCACACTCTGTGCTCTCTTCTTCTTTTCTCATTATTCGCTCAAAATGCTATAAAAAAGATTATCAATCATTTTTTTGAGAAAGAGCTCTTCATATAAAAAAATATTCTTTAGGTGAGAGCATCTTTCTTTTCTTTTTTTTAAAGGGGTGGAGTGGTGGAGAATCGTGAAAGATAAAAAAGGGCAGTCTGGTGCACTAAGCTTCCGCTATGCGCGGGGTCCGGGGAAGGGCCGGACCACAAGGGTCTATAGTACGCAGTCTTACCCTGCATTTCTGCAAGAGGCTATTTCCATGACTTGAACACGTGACCTCCTGGTCACATGACAACAACTTTACCAGTTACGTCAAGGCTCCCCTTCACGGATCGTGAAAGATACTAATAGTTCACTTATTAACAACATAATATTATGTTCTTGTCTTCTTGACCTAATTTGTCGAAGTAAGTTACACTTTTGCAATCCCAATTGGATCAGTTTTGGTAGATTGTAATTTTACAATTAACATGATATCCCTCTGTAACATTAGATTTGATACTCCCAAATCATTTATGAAATCACATTTCTTTGTACTCCTAAAGATAATAATTCATAACTACTAGGTCGCGATAACAATTTCTATTGTTGTTGGATGGGCCAAGATCTTAGAAATGGGCAAAACCTCATCCCAAGATCCTAAAAGTTTGTTTCCCTCATAGCGCGTCATAGTTACTAAGGTCTGACTTGATCTATGATATGGTCGGCTAAACCAGATGGTGTATTGTCCAATGTTGGAGACTAGCGCGTGACGTGCGTCATAGCCATCGAGGTTTGACATATACGACGTGATCAGCTAAACCAGATGGTGTGTCATGCAATGGCTATGAAATCTTCTACGTTTTCCATCTAAAATACTACCTATTTTCAAGAGCAAAACGCCCTGTTTGATTTCAGAAAGAAGCCAAAATCATACTCGGTGTATTCCCACAAGTGGGTTCTGGGGAGGGTAGTATGTATGCAAACCTTAACCCAATGGCGAAGCTAAGAATTTCCCCAAGGGTGTTCAAGTTTAAAAGAAGTGAAAAAAATTTCCGATAAAGGATGTTCAATATGTGTTACATACCTCTAATACGTAATATTGTACCTATATACATAATGTAATTTTTCGACGACCTTTTGACCATGTGGCTTCGCCCATGCCTTACCCCTACCTAGTGAAGGTAGAGAGGTGTTTCCAGTAGGCCCTCGGGTCAAGGAAAGCATAATCACAGCAGTTCTGACAAAGAACTATGCAAAGAAAAGCAATAACAACCAAAAAATATAATATAACCTAAGCAAAAGGGATACAAGAAAATGCATGTTAATCCATGCATCCAATGTTTTGCCACTTCATGTATTTGGAGAAAAAAACATGCAATATATGGACATCAACAAGGATTAGGGACGCCAAAGTTACAGTCTCACTATATATGTTGAGTACGTAAAACTAAGAAATAATGGAATGAAATGCTACTAAGGTTAAATTGTTTGATTTGATGTATAAACCAAGTGTGACTAAGTATTTATTATAAAGAACTTTTGCCATAGCAATACTAGTAAGGTTAAATTGTTTTGGCTAGATGCGGCTAAATATTTACCGTAGTAACACCTGGCATACATTCCCAAATAACAATAAGAACCTCATGGAGGTGAGGAAAATACCAAAAGAAGGCTATTCAAGTAATCCAAATCCAGATGGTACTTAGCTGTATCACTATTTACATTTTTGGCTTCACTAATGAATACATTCAACTATCACAAACTACAACAGGGTGCACACTCAGCACAGTTAATACATATGGACTATGATACCGAGTTTTATAGATGCAACTAAAATTTTGCTTCAAATTTTAAAAAGACAGTGCACTTTATTATGAACCTCAAAAGAGAGAAAAAGAATTAAATTCATCAGGGGAAAGTCCCCAAAAGGTTAAGTAATAACTGGAATAAAATCTAAGAAGTGAAACCTTCTTATTGACCATTATAAAGTTACTGCAGAGTGTATAATACAATAGTAAGTTCAGATGCTGTTCTGGAAAACTAATTACCACTCATTAGTAACAGTAATCTACACAGAGATCAAATGGATTTGCTTATGAAGAGATTCCAGCTGGAAAATAACTTTCAAGACTGAAAATGAAAGTCTACTAAAAATGTCAATCGCGTTTTCTGATTGTGAAACAACAAAAAGAGTTGTAATCTCCATAAGCCGACTAGAAAATGAGTTCTTTAATTATCATTTTAAATTTCAAAGTTAGTGAAGAATGTAATAGGTTAAAAAATTACGAGACGAGGGTTAGCAATGCTGTCCTAATTTTACTAAGCGCAGGAATCAAACCTCAAAAAGTTGTGACGTATAACACACTTCACCTTCTTTTCCTCTTCTTCTATTTGCAGCAATTGCGGTGCATCTGTCCTCCCCTTGTTCTAGTACTAGATGCTCTGAGACTAAGATGTAGAGAGAAATTAACAAATGCAAAGAGTTATGAGTGAATTAACTAAACTCTGGGTGAAAAACTTCAGACGGAATGAAAGACAAAATCACGTAAAACACATGCATATGTCATATCTCAAGGAGTAATGGTGTGACTTCACGAAGATGCAACTATTTTTCAAACATATCAAATCTTATAAAGGAGGGAAAATAAAGATGAGATGAGATAGGAACTCGCTTGTCTATCAGCGTACAATTATGGAATTTCATTGTCCTATTTTTCCCCTTAAATGCATATTCCAATACAACGATAAAGATTGCTAGAAAAGAACAAACATGAACTTAAAACAAAAAGAAAGATGGATCAAGATAACATCATCAAGGACAAAAGACTAGGATTATAAGATCAGCACCCCATGACAGCACAGTTATACACAAAGCTACCAGATCGCTTTCGGCCAAGCAAGTCCCATTGTATCGGCCCTTCACTTGGAATCCATGAATTCACTTCAATATATTCTGCACCTCCCTTGGGTCCACCAATTACAATTAGCCTGTTACCACATGCTCGAAAAGCCAAACCCCAACCACACATGGAAGCTGCTCTTTCGGGCAGCCGTCCTATGGTAACCCACGCTTTATTTTGCTTGTCATACTTCCTCACCTCCATGTCAGCATAATCAGCCGCGTACAGCTCATTGTCTACAACTGCAACCAAAGGAGGTGCATCAGATGTAGCAGCGTTAGCTTGCACAGGAGACATGTTTGGGATTTCACGCCACGTTCCTTTTTCAAGATCATACTCCTCCCCACAAGTCAATCGCTTCGATTCGACTCCTCCAATTCCTCCTATCACATAAAATTTCGCATCCATGAATACCCCTGAACACATCTTACGTGGCTTGTTCATGCTCGGTAAAGTCTTCCACG